GGCATCTTGTTTTCTGTTAAGATTTTATTGGTAGGTTTGCAAATCTGTATCAGACTGTGCAACAACTCTCTCCATGAGTTTGCATTGAAATCCAGTCTAGCATATATATACATTACATTGTACCAATGATATTATTACAAGATAAATGATTTGCTTCATTGAACACATACAGCAATGCACATTCACACTGGGGTCAGTGACCTTTGAATGTGTATCAGGAGTGATCAGTCAAGTAGAAAATATTTTATCAGATTTTCTCAATTTTTGCGTGATATTTTCATACAGGACATCTGTTCTTCATACCCAGGGAAGACTTTATACTCATGAATAAGGTGACCAAGTTTGATAAAGTTTGGAATAGAATTAGTAAAGTTATTGTGCACACAATAACATTATTAACGACGACAACAACAACAACAACGACGACAACGCCGGACAGAAATTTTTCCCTTAATATACCTTTCCCTTCCATCTTTGATGTTACGGGCAAGGTAAAAACTATAATTGTATAGCAAAAACGATTAATATGTAAAGTTCCGTGCTAAACGACGTGGATAAGTCATTTAAATGGAATTGAAAAAGCCCATCCATCATCTCCCACGAGCCGTTTTGGAGCATTGTTTTTAAATCTGAAAATGTTCCTATTTTCATTATAATTGCAGGCAGCTGAGCTATAAATAAATTATGTATAGCCTAAAAATACAACATTTTGCAGTGTGTATATTTATTTAGTTCAGTTTAAGTGCCATAGTTGTGTTACGTTTTAAACAAGTCACTTGCAAAATACGTTGTGTTGATACCAAATTTGAACACGATCTGAGCGACTACTGTACATGAATAAAAAACAATGGCAATAAATGCAGCTCCTCGTACGGCAATAGATTTTATCTGCAAATAACAGCCTAGATCTTGTTGATAGCAAAAGCCACATAACTTGTTCTTGGCCACAAAATAGCGTTCCATTTTCTACCATCCTTAGTTTTGTGGCCTTACGTAGCACACCGACTTAATTTTATGGATGACATCCGCGTACGCATTAAAAAAATCTCCGAAGACGAGTCTCCACAAATCAGTTTTCTGTCCGAAACTTGTCGACTCATATTGTCGCAAAGCACCAGCTTGTTGTGAAACTCGTTTTGGACTACCTCAAAACGTGCCAATTTTGTCGTAAATGATCTTCTGCACATGCATAGCCAGGAATTCCAACATGGCGACCACACCACCAAAACACGCGAGCATAAAAGTTCAGAGGAAAAATGGAGGGATTGTTGTAGCCTGGTATGCAATTGACGTCGGCCGGGAGAGATGACGTTTACACAGCTATACGTACTTCAACATATGCCTCCTCCTGCGGTTCAATTCGTAATACCAGCTGTGTAGTCCTGTGGTTTTAGCAGCATGATTTTTTTTTTCGCCCTCTCACATCAGTTTTGGGGTCTCCATCCATGAAAATAAATCAGTATGGCCTAACTATGATGGCAAAAGTAGCTCATTGTAAAAACCCTGTTTTATTTACACAATGATACTTTGGCTGCATAAATAGACCTTGGCTACAAAGAAAGCAGACATTACCGATACGTATTAACCATCGTTACAATATTGTAAAACTATTTATTTTTACAGGTTCTAGTATATAATTTCATTATTTTGAGCATACTCAACAAGAAAGGGAAACATCAATTCAATTAGTGGATTTTACTTATAAGCAAAAATAAAACCCAGTGAATACATTTCTATAAGGACATGTCAAATAAGCAACAAATAATGATTTGTTTTTAAAAACAAAACACAAAATATTACAATGACATAATTAAACAATATTTCTTTGAATGACAGACTGCTTGTAAGTTGAAGGCAATATACTGTCAAACATGTTTTAGTAGCTACATGCAATTTTAGCGAATTTTACTCCATGCATGAATTAACTAAATCTTAATTTAGCTAAAGTGTCGACAATTTCATTGTGAGAATATACTTTATTTTAAATTATAGTGACATCTTGAACTAGCGAAATTACAGATTAGCTAAAATAACATGCTAGCTAAAAGACATGTTTTACAGTATACTGAAAAACACTTTACACAAATAAAGTAATAAGCACACTGATATCAAATAAGTTTTGCTCAATTTGATTAGGTTTTTAATGAAATATAGACACATGTATAAGTAATTACAAATATAATAAAATTAACATAAAATCAGGACTATGATTTAATAGTTGTAAATTGCAAACTCCAGTGAAATATGCAAGTATTCTGGATTTCCAGTCAAAAGGTATTGACTTGACACTGATTAGTGACATTTACTCTAGTCAATTATTATCAGGAAATGACTATCACAAGATTTTATCGTCATAAATTCCCTTAAATCTTAAAGCACCAACATTTATAGCTGCATAATTTTAATAAATAACAGCATCAGTGTCCCTTTTCATTAAAAACACAATTATTATTATACTATTATTATATTACAATGTCATTATAGCCAATTATATTTGAACAAGTTAGTATCTAACTGACAACCAACCCTGACAGTGAGCAACTTAAATATCAGTTGGTTTTGATGACCAATCCAATTTGAGTTTGTTTACAATATGTTCAAGCTAATCAGAAAACACCTTCATCATGAATGGCTTAAAAGTAACCACAATACCCCTGAGGATTATAGGAAGTGGCAGTTATGAACACTGACATATTATGAACGTAATTCTCATAAAAATATGGCAGTATGCAAAATATATTGTGACTGAATGCATTATTAAAGGAATACTGATTGCAGTAAAGGTCACTCAAGTACTGGTATTATGTAGATTTTACACCATTTGCGTCATCTTTTGAGAAACTGCCCTCAATGTGAGAGTGGACAATTTGGCAATTGTCTTCATTTGTTTATATTTCACTATCATGAGAACCATAGGATAGGTATGAAAGGACTCATTTTTACACATAGCTAAAAAAAATGATAAAACTCTAAGTTGACTTCATGGGGGTCTTTTACCTTCTAAAAAATATTTGCAAATTGGACGCACATTCGTACTATGAATCTATTTCAGAATATACACCCAACATCAATTGTCCGATTAAAATACACCCATCCCAAAAATATTTATCACAATTTTTGCATGTCTCTCGAAACATATCCGACAGCTTTAGAAATGTTGGGTACTAGACATATTTACAATATACTATTATTTGTTTATATCATTTGAGAATATTTGTTAATCAGTTAATTAATTGGAGACGTAATTACAACCTACAAGTATGCTTAGCTTTCTTGGGCAAGATTTCTTATTTGTGAACAGTAAAAAGCAGTATAAACAAGACTGTATTTACAATGCAGTGTATCAAAACTGCTATAATATGCATGATTAAAACAGGAATAATGTCAGACTAGTGAATAGCAGCTGGTGGAGTTTTTTATTGTTAGTGAGTACCGCTGGTGTAAATGAACTATTAATAAATATTAATGTTGTGTGTGTGCACGAATGCAGCTCAGCTCGTCATACAGGATAGTTTGTAAGATGACGAAAACGAAAATATTTCGTGTGAAGTAGAAAGTAATATTTTTGACTAGATTCTGCATTCATTTCATTTGATTCCAGTAAATCTCAACCAAGTAAAACTTTCTTAATTTTTGAGGTCGGTACACCTGACTCGTCTTCTGATAATTCTGATTCACTACTACTGCATGATCCAGGAGTTGCACACTGTGGTGAACAAAGATACTGCAGCAATGGTAGACGATATTTACCGCAGAAATCAACAAACTTCACATGCTCAACTCTTGATTCAAAATAAACTCCTGTAAACAAACAAAAAATGTATTAGTGTTAATTATTCGCCATTCACACTATTGGTAATCTGAATGCAATCTCTAATGACAGAAATGTCTGTGTATAACTGCATGATTTTTTTGGGTGGTGTGTTGTACGTCGAAAAGCCCTCCTGGTTTGTTTTTTTTTCAGAGTTTTTGAAAGCAAAAACACATTGATTCAAGCTACGTTCAGTCCATAAGGAAGTAAGTAAGATTTGTTATAAATGGCTAGAAAAATGTTTTTAGTGTTTTGTATGGTTTGTTATCTAAGCTGGTACTCAAATAGAGCGTTATTATTTGACAGTATATATTTTATTTGATAAAACAACCAATCAGGTGCCTTGTTTCAAATGCATGTGCAGAATAATGTTTGTTTCAACAAGGTAATATCTGATTTTGTTGACAAATTTAGTTAGAGGAGAGAGCTCCAAGATCCCAATTTCCTTAGATACTGTTTCAGATTTAGCTAAGCAAATAGTAAGATCATCTGATTAGAATTATTAATGTGTATTACGCAATGCATTATGGGAGTAAACTCACCTTTACAATTGGGATTGACACATTTACAGGCAGAACCAAGGTAGTGAACAAGATCTCTGGGTAAATCAGCATTATTGTAAGGCACATTGTTAGACTTAATAGCTCGGCCAGAAAGTTCAAGTAGCGATGGTGGCTGGTACGTCAGATCACGACAGAACCGCATTACTAATGGGTTTCCACGAAGACTTAATTCAGCAAGGTTTTTCAACTTCACAATTTGCGTGGGTAAAGTTGTGAGTGAATTGTTATGCAGACTCAGTGATTCTAAGTTTGTTAATTTCACAAAATCCGATGGAAGCTGTTGAATTTTATTATCACATAACACAAGAGAAATCAGGCTGTTTAGACTTCCGATTTCAGCAGGAATTTCAGTTAGTTGGTTTCCTCCCAAATACAGTATTTCCAATCTGAAAACAAAAATATCAAACAACGTGTTATTCTAAATACTTGTGTAATCTTGGTGCAGTATGACCATTAAGAACACGTACTGTAAAATACTTTATTTCAGCTGGAATTAATTTTCACTGATTTTTAATGAGTTGAATAAAAAATATAGAAAAAAAGGTATTTTCACTGATTTATCCCTTCAACAAGAATAAATTCCCATTGAAACTAAAGTATTTTACAGTACTCTGAAGTCGGTCTCATATTATGGCAACTGTTCGTAGACAACACTGAACAGTTTACATAGGCAAGTTTTTTATGTTATCTCCCTGCATTGATGTTTTCAATTCAAGCATGAATTGTACATCTGTTTATGGCCTAAAACCTAGACTGAATACCAATTTGTTCTAAAGAGGATGTCACCGAGTTTAATAGTCTAGACAATCCACATAAAAACAGTGGTTTGTGATCTTTGGTTCTTTAGTAGTCATAAGTGCAAGGAATGTGTGAAGTGTCAATCAACACTTGTCCATTTCCGTTCAGGAATTAGCAGTTTTCAGCAGATATGCTTCAGTTTTGAACCGATTGGTGATTATATATTATAGGTATCCAGATTACTTTTGAAAATTTACATAATGTTAGTAAAATACTGAAAACTTGTTTTTCATACATACAATGAAATTGGACAAACTATAGCATATACGTTTGTAAGATATCTCTGGGGTAGAACAAGCACATGTATCTTGAGAAAACCAAGTCAAACTGTCTAACCAGTGTCTGGTTATAAAATCCACCTTCTTGTCGTTGGCGTGTACTTAGTAACATAGGAACCAGAAAACTTATAACTTGTCTATTCAGGATTATAATAGAATGTGGATATGGATGATTCAGTTTCTAAAGTGTGTACCGGTAATTTATGTTTTCTTTTTGTCTGACGTTTTTAAATATATCTGATCTGTAAGTGGCTAACTAATGTGGTGTTATTAAGTGAATACATAAAATAAATGTTAACATTATTCATACCCTCTTAAAATTAGTCAGTTTAATTAATAATCTCGGTATACAAAAACTATTTTCAACATTGTACACCAGGAGATCGATGAGAATAAATTAGCAGGACTTCTCAGTTTTTCACTGGTGGAGAGTATTACAATATACATGTTCAGGGCCCAATACAAAGCAAGGTCAGTTTACCTTTCAAAAGTAATTATTCAATGTCAGCCTAAACATGTTTGCAGACATCAACATCAATCAATCCACTCAATTTTGAATAGCAAAAATTACAGCTATGATCAGAAAGGAAGTAGGTACACACATCCAATGGGTTTCCAAAAAATGGGTAATAAAAAAGAAATTGAAGACAAGTTACTTTTCATGATATCATGCTCATTCAACAAAGATGTGTTCAGTTTTGAGAAACAACCAGACATTACCAATTGCACCAACATGCCAGAGGATAAAAAAATTCAAAAGTTATTCCAGTAGCCAAATTTATACAGAACAGATTTAGCGCCAGACACCAACCCACAGGGAAATATTTCCCTTCTAGTATTACTCTATGATTCTTTATTATCATTTTACTGTTTTATTTCATTTTACTTTGCAATTTAAGTAACTTTTTTTTCTTTTGAGATGTCACTGCTGTACTTTCACGAAGTCAGTGTTATGTAAATAATCATTATTATCAAAGACATTCATTTATACACAGTCCCTCTATCACTGTGGACTGTGATTAATACAACTAATAGCTTTTCATTTCTAATCAGTACATAACAGGCATTCACTGTCACAACTATTTACTGAATGAATAGTCTAATAAAAGTTTTCAATGGTGAAATAGGGTTATGCATCCAAGGCCAACAAACAGCTGACATACTGTAAAACCATAAAATTTTCACTTTTTTGATCATACTCATTGGGCTTTAAGTTCATGAATTTGGCAGGGAAATAATGAGTTATATTGTTATTTTACATATTCATGTGGCTTTAATTAAGGCTTATTTTTCGTCAGTGAAAGTTATTACATTTACATTTAATTGATTGACCTCACTGTACATCATGGTATTAAATATTAATAAGCTCATTTGCTATTGTGAGTGGTACGGGAACAGAACTTGAACTGCACATGATTTGTTTGGGCTATTAAAGATGATTCATATTGCAATAAATCAATATTCTACATTATTTTTTTTCAGAGATGGATTTATTTGATTCTGAATAGACAGAATGCAAATATGTGCTGAGTTCTTGTTGAAAGACAAGACTTATTTTCATCCACTGTTTCAAGTGTTTCTCTTGCTCTAAATAAGTTCTTGGCGGCCATTTTTGTCTGAGGTCTATTTTGTTTACATCCAACTTCTCTCACAATTGTATTAACATATATATAACCTTGTTGTTATGATCGCCATCATTTTTCCCACAACATTTGTATGTATTTTAATGTAATTATGTGATCTTGAATTTGAGATTTCAAGATGAAATAGAATATAAAGTTACATTTCAATTTAGAAAGGGAAAGAAAACAAACAAGCAGCCTGTCGGCTGAGATAGCTCAGCTGTTAGCAATGCACATGGCAATTAAAGAACTGAAGATATCATTAGAAAATGAACAAATCTGATAGAGGTCCACATGTAGTACCTATATGTATAATATATCAAAGCAATTGAACTTGTGGTTTTCAACAAGAAGTCGAAAATATCACATTTTACCAAAAATTACAAAAATATTCAACAAAATTAGAGAATTAAAGATATCATCATGAAATAAACAAATCTGAGAGAGGTCCACATGTAGTACCTATCTATGTAATATCAAAGCAATTGGACTTGCGGTTTTCAACAAGAAGTCGAAAATATCACTTTTTACCAAAAATTACAAAAATATTCACCAAAATTAGAGAATTAAAGATATCATTACAAAATAAACAAATCTGAGAGAGGTCCACATGTAGTACCTATATATGTAATATCAAAGCAATTGGACTTGCGGTTTTCAACAAGAAGTTGAAAATATCACTTTTTACTAAAAATGACAAAAATATTCACCAAAATTAGAGAATTAAAGATATCACTACAAAATGAACAAATCTGAGAGAGGTCCACATGTAGTACCGGAGACGGAGACGGACAATCACTCATATGATAAGCTCCGCTCGACAAAGTCGACAAGCGGAGCTAAAAACAATTGTAATATTGGATTCTAGAAGTAAATGGTGTACGTGTTTAAATGCATGCACAATGCAATCTAATGGTATACATTATTTATATGACAAAACAATCCAGCAGATATAGTACAACAGTAAGGGACGATGTCAAAAGATCAATGTCAGATAAAAAACTCGATCTTTTGACGTTGTCCCTAAGGTCTCAAAATGTCATCAAAACCATTCTGTATACACTAGTGCAAATCAAGGTCAAATACAAAGTACAGTGATATACCTGCACTTTCCGAAATGTTGTGTCTATGAATAAATAAAAAAAATATACAGTTCACAAATGTTATCATTATTCAATATATTCACAGGTCAAGGAAAAAAAAACAGTGCTATTAAGTTGACCTCAAATTGTCCTCAACATAAACATTATTTCTGGTTTTTTTTATATTTTGGTACAGCATTTTGCAAATATTTTTTTATAATTTAAATGTGATTTGAAGATTTGCTGCAGACCATTGGAAGGGGAAATTGGGGGAATTTGTCGTTACAAATTCTTTTGCAGAGATACAGGTGATAGATTATAATAATTATGTTTATTAATATTTTCTGGTATTTGCATTTCATGTTTTTAAAAGTAACAGCTGTGAGCCAGTGATTACCCGATACTTATTTCAAACTAAAAATTCTAACAGCCATTATATTTTATAATAAGATCAAGTTATGAACACAAACCTGACAATAGAACACAAATTATTGCTTCAACAAACAATTGACCAATGATAACATTTTTTAAGTCTTGCAGTACAATCATTTGTCATCTACTAATACTGTGGAATAATAAAGTATTCTACAGTATATATTTACTGTGCAACAACTGAAAGAAATGTTCTTTTTCTAAAGATAAAATATTACTATAATTACTAGGAATACATTATCGTATGTATCGATAATAGATGATTTTGAAATACCGGTAAATAGGGTAAAACCCAATCTGATTAAAATTAGATGTAATTTTTTTTTATTGTTATTTTAAGAATATATTTTGGCTTTACTTGTTGTTATCAAGGTTTTTTCATATATTGTTAAGCTGACTGTGAAATTGTGGAATCTTTGGGAAATTCTGGATTTTGGAAAATTCTCAAAAACTAAGTTTTTAGTAAATTTCAGTTTCTGATTGCACTCAAGTTATTAAACCATATAGTGTCAATACGATAATATATAGAAACAAATTTTTAAAATGAAAATGTTTCATAAAAAAAAAATATTACTGGTAATAAAATAGATGGTCAATACCTTATTTTGTTTAATTTATTGTGAAGGTACCTGGGTACCGTGGTATTTACAATTACATCAGTGTACACTGTCTGTATATTGCATCATCTGTACTGTACTATGGTGTATATTGCCATATGGTGCATGAACACATTTTATAACAACACAAAATGTAGATGCTCAACTAATTCAAGATTGGTACTAGCTCTTTTTGGCATGTGTAAAATTGGTGTGGTGAAGAACATCCTACACTGGCGGTATAATTCCCTGTGACTAACATAAACTGAACAAAACTGCTGTAATCCCTCTGCAAACACAACGGATTAAGAATTTCAGAGATCCCATAACATCATAGACCTTAGAAAACATTGTTTTCTAAGGTCTGTGATAACATGAAGATGTGTTTGATGTCCTGACAAGTAATCCCCATATCAAATATTTGTGTATTCCACAAAAATATCAAGCACACATTCTAAAGCGTGATCTTCACTGGTCTCAATTTTCAGCTACTACTTTTCATGCTTATCTTAGTGGTCAGTTTCGTGGTTGTCATGCCGATACAGTTGGACATATGATAAGGAGGTGATTTAGGGGTAATGCTATAGACGCTATGGTAATACTGTAAATACTTTATTTTAGCTGGAATTAATTTTTGCTGAAACGACTTTTTGGGTCTTTTGTGTGGAATATATTTTCACTGATTTTTGACGAGTTGAATGTAAAATATAGGAAAAAAAGTATATTCGCTGGATTGTATTTTCACTGAAGCATTCCTTCAGCGAAAATTAATTTCAAGCAAAAAAAAAGTATTTTACAGTATAGCTTTTTCAACATTCAGGGACTGCATGACTATTTACAAATAATGAAAATCTACAGCAACTAGTATGTATGACAATGGGATGCGTAATTACGAGAGATATTCATTAAAAAACAATGAATGAATGAATGAATGAATGAATGAACAGTCATACCTTTGTAACTTGTGTAACTCGGGAGGCAACGTCCTTATTCTATTTCCGCCGAGGTACACGCATTTCAAGGTCTGTAATTCAGTCAGTTCTACTGGAAAATCAACCAACAAATTCCCACTAAAATTGACAACTTCTAACTGCGGGCACATGCCAATGTTTTTCGGTAGTGACTCAAGGTCAAGTAAATTGTTTTTTGCCACAAGAACCTTCAATTTCGGAAGCCGTACAATCTCGTCTGAGATATATTTTAAACGATTAGAGCTCATGTCCAGTTCGATCAGACTTTCAAAGCTTCCTATGACTCTCGGGAGGACTGTTATTCGATTATGTGAAAGTACCATACTGCGTACGTTAGACGACCGCTTCTCTGAGAGATGATCGGGAAACTCCTCTAACTGCAACCTCGAGAAATCAACATAACACTCGGTTTCGTCATTTTCCGCCTCCATTCTCCCAAATCGCCTTCTGTACATGACAATAATAACAACAGAATGTTAGCTTTGCAATTAATGTAGCATATACGACGATCGTCGCCTAAAAATGACAAATATATAATGATAAGTTCATAAACAAAGCGATATTAAACTCACCGTGAGTCGACAGATCTGTTATCGTCGTTAGGTCAAAGGTATCGCTGATTTAAATATTTGCATATGACCGGCCCGAAACATGAATATTCCTATCATTTGAACAAACACATTTAAATCTAAATTCACGTAAAGTAATTTGTTTCAATCGTTTCCCACGAAAAAATAAATAAATTAATTAAATAACATACTAATCTTGAATAATGACCATGATAACCACATTAATTAATCTCACAAATAAATTCGAGCAGTTCGTTCTATTAATGTCTGTATCACGTGATTGAGAGAACCAGCCAATGAACTGTGCAGTTGCGTCAGCCTTCAGAGTCGCGATACAGTGTTTATTTAGGGGACATAGAATTGTTTTTTTGATTGATATTTATATTATCGTCTTCTATGGTTCAGAATCCTTCTCATTTTATTTGGAAAAAATAATGTATATTAACATAAAATAACTGGAAACAGATTTTCGTAAGATGTATTTGGCAAAAAAAATATTTGACAAAAAAAAAATTCGAAATTTCTCCAGCTGCTCCACAATGGACAATGCATGAAGATTACAATCAAAGAAGTAAATATCACACCACGGTTTCAAAGCATGCTGATAATGAGATTGTACATAATCTTCTACTATTTATTTTTACTGACATAAACCAGTATGATATTAGTTTGGATTCTTCCAAACGGATTCAAAATGCTACAAATTAATCAAACATATTAATCAAGATATTAAATATTCCATTCCTCCTGTCATTTTTAATTACATTACATCAGGTTTCATAAAAGCATGCATTTGTTTTATTTGAAATAATAATAAATTTCAAATGGGAATTAAAAACAACTTTACCATCAATATAGAACGTCACTGTGGTCAGTTAACCTCTTTTTTGATACTGCTTTTAAGTTGTTAGACGGCTCACCACACATTAAAGATGCATGGCTGTAAATTGGTCAATATTAAAAGGAAACCTGCAAGGCCTCGTGGGTAATGGACATTACCTAATGGCTTCAGTCGCGGCAGCACAGAGTTGGGTCCTCGGCCCTCCAAAATCAATCTGAAACTCTTTGTGGCAGCAAAATTTGCCCCTAAAAATGCAGGAAATAGCGTTTCAGTGGGTCTAGATTTCAAAATGTTTAATGGGGGTGCATGCCCCCGGACCCCCTAGTAAGTTCCCCTTGTAAGGTTTGTGAGCAGACACCGCCCCCCCCCCTCCCCCCATGCAAAATTTCCACTGTCTCTGGTCTTCTATAGACATTGGAAGCATCGTTTTTTTATTTGAACGAAGCACAAGTGTGTTCAGGAATACATGTTTTATAAATGTCATAAAACAAATTTATGCCCTTATGAAATAAGTAGTATTTATCTATACATGTATATTTTGAGGAACTTTACAGTAAACAACATAAAGCTGTGATCATTATAAACATACATTTTTATAAAACAAAATGGATGTTAGAAATAAAATTGACCAACCCAGAATTATTGAGTAAGTTCAACTTTTTCCAATCAGCAAGCGCCTCATTTTGAATATATGTTGACAGTCATAGTTGCTGTCACTTGAAACCATGCATCCACATTATGGGCATAGACACTCTTAAGCCCTTGAAACAATTGGTACTAGTTGAATTTGAATAAAAATTGCTGATCTGTATTCAAAAAAGATATTCTCTTTCTCTAAATATTTATAATTTTCAATAGTAGTTAATTCCAACCGGCCAATAAGTGCGCAGTAACGTCATTTGAAAACAGTCCAGTGTTATTTAGTTGTCCAATACTGTAGAATACTTTATTTTCGCTTGGAATTTATTTTTGCTATTTTCGCTGAAGGAATGATTCTGTGAAAATAAAATCCAGCGAATATACTTTTTTCTCTATATTTCACATTAAACTCATCAAAAATCAGTGAAAATAAATTCCATACAAAACGCCCAAAAAGCCTTTTCAGCGAAAATAAAGTATTCCACAGTAATTTAGTTTGAATTATGAAATCCATAAATATTTTATAAAGATGAACGGAATGCCTTTGTTGCAGTGAGTATCGTATAAACTGACTACACATGAAGGTTTGAAATGTTTTTACACTCAGTGCACATCAATAATAGATGAAGTGGCATTTGTTTGCTGGGACAAACAAGACAAGACACGTTCATTTACTGTCAATAATAGTACAACATTACAGAGGCGGCGGCACGTAATTTTGCATAGGGGGGGGGTCCTGCTCACCAACCTTGAACCAAAGAGGGAAGACATTTTTAGGGGGGTGCCCCCCCCCCATGTCGCCGCCACTGCATTGATATAGAGTTGCAGTTATTAAACAAAACAAGTTTAATTGCTGTATTGTAAATAGTACATCAACTATTAGCAATGTAAACCTGTCTGTAAACTTGCACACCATCATTTTTTTCTATTACATTTTGGTACAATATTTTGCATGAGTATTTTTTCATACTTGTTTAATTATTTTGTACCAGACAAACATAAATTCCAGTTGGTTTCTATGACAGAGCACACAATTGGTTCTTTTTTGGGAAAGAGCGTATAATTGCCTATATGAGACAGGCACATGATTGGTCGATATGGAACTGAGCTTTGGCTTTTACTTTCTAAAAAGGAAAAATAAGAAATCAAAGTAATAGCAATAATAGTTATTTATTATTACTTGGTTAGCAATCTGCTAGTTGCCTTTTATTACATGTCACTTACTGCTATTTGTTTTGACTGAGATATTTAATTTACTCATGTACATTTCTGATTAAGTACTTACTCATTTATGTTACCATACCAGTTTCTTTTCATTCTAGTTATTTATTTTAAGTGATAGGGCCACTAGACTAGTTCTGCTGAACTATTTTCATGGTCCACACCAGAATTATTCAAATTCTGTACATATTACCTTGTATATTAAATTTCCTCTTCATATATCTCAATAATTATATACATAATTTTCTGGTGAAATCAATCAGCTTATGATTGTTTTTTTCTGGGACAGAACATATGATTGGTTCTCTGTGGGACAGGGTCTATATCTTATCAAACATAAAATGGAAAATGATTTACAGGATTAATTCAAATTAGTCATCAATTAAAATGAAAACAAAACACAAGTTACATGAAATATTTTATTAATATTGCACATTATAAAAATTATGTTTTCAAATCAAACTACTTGTCACTGAATTCCCTCTGACTTGTACACTGGTAGAATGTGTAACGTCTTTATAAGCAAAATGTACATGATGTACCTTTACAGGTAAAATAATAGACTGATACAATTAGTGTGAGGAAGGAATATACCACCTATAATGGAGGGGTTCCAAGTGCATTCAAACTGGTGGGAGACTGTAATAAAGTGGGTGGATCAAGTCTTATTTCCGTCAGTTTTACAATTCCATTGAATAACTTGGTTGTAACCTCATACCATGATTCACTCCATACTTGGGCATTATATAACATAGTCTATTCAGAAACTGGTAATTGGTTATAACCATATCATTGGTTTTAAAAAATACACCCACCAATTGTACATTGAAATGTAATTACATATATCATTTACATCAACTGTGTAGCGCCCTCATACACTTATAGTGCGCCCTCATGTGATACAACACAATCATCATACTGACGATGCTGCAGCTGCTAAACTCTACTTTCTTCATATTTTCAACAATTGTGATCAAAACACATGAATAATGAAAACTTATGTCCATATGTTTCAAAATTAACCACAAAAATACAGAAAACTATAACAACAACAAAATTGAAAAATTAAGGCAGGTCAAACAAAATCAGACATCAGAAATATAAACCAAAATGACAAACAATTTTTTGAATGAAATTTGAGTTGTGGACAAGTTATGGTCGGAGAGCCATATCCAAAATAAATGGCTGACAAACAGCCATATCGAATAAATATGAATTTGTGCCTGCTTGCCTGGGTAGCTTATTTGAAATTTATAAGCTGCCATTCTTTGGTGAAACCACAGCTAGGTTGACCCTGGAGCCGTGAAACCACAGCTAAGTTGACCATGGAGCCATGAAACCACAGCTATGTTGACCCTGGAGCAGTAAACTACAGCTATGTTGACCCTAGAGCCGTGAAATCACAGCTAAGTTGACCCTAGATCAGTGAAACCACAGCTATGTTGACCCTGGAGCCGTGACACCACAGCTATGTTGACCCTGGAGCCATGAAACCACAGCTACATGTAGGTTGACCCTAGAGACACGAAACTAAAACTACGGTGACCCTAGAGCCGTAAACCACAGCTAGGTTGACCCTGGAACCGTGAAACCAAAGCTAGGGTGACCCTGGAGCCGTGAAACTAAAACTACGGTGACCCTAGAGCCGTAAACCACAGCTAGGTTGACCCTGGAACCGTGAAACCAAAGCTAGGGTGACCCTGGAGCCGTGAAACCAAAGCTAGGGTGACCCTGGAGCCGTAAACCACAGCTAGGTTGACCCTGGAGCTGTGAAACCAAAGCTAGGGTGACCCTGGAGCTGTGAAACCACAGCTAGGTTCTGCTATACTATCAATGTAATCTGGTAGTTAAAAAACAATAATTTCATTATTATTCATAATTATCACAAAATTTGAGAACTGAATTATTACATAGTAATAAATAATTACAAAACTGTTCATACTATGCTGATTGGAAATTAGTTATTTCTTTAAAATCACAAAAAGTGGTCTGTTAGTGAATCCAGCTTGATTTGGTCGATGTCTTTACATGACTGTACATTGGTCTGCACTAGGTAAGCCAGGTAGTTTAGGATTACCATGGTCATCAAACTCAATGCCTGGTGCCTGAAATAATAATTAATATATACACTATTAGCATAAGTACTTGCTTCAGCGATGTGATTGCATTGCTAGGTAAACCCAAACAGGTGGCAAACAGATAGTCTGTATACTGTAAAATACTTTATTTTCGCTTGGAATTAATTTTTGCTGAAGAAATAATTCAGTGAAAATAAAACGAGCCAATATACCTTTTTTCCAATATTTTACATTAAACTTGTCAAAAGTAAGTAAAAATAAATTCCATACAAAACACCCAAAAAATCTTTTCAAATTAATTCCTGCTAAAATAAAGTATTTTACAGTATTCTTATGGATGAATATATTGTGTTTACAGAGAACATGAACACAGCTGCTAATCGACCATCTCGAATTATATCATAAAACAAATGCATGTGCATATACATCCAATATTAATGATTTATGTGTAAAGTTTTAATAGGATGCACAAAGATGAAATTATAAGTCTTTGTTTTCAAACTTCATCCAAACAGGAATTATACCAATACCACGAATACCTCTATTGGTTGGTCACTAGTCAGTGACTTTCAGTGGTTGTCGCATCAGACTCATGACCGGTAGACCCAAGTTCAAATCCTACCTTAGGCTGAACATCAAAAGGGTTGACCAGTACCCTACTCTGGGTAAGTGTGCCAAAGACTCAATGGTGTTTGTGTTCGACCGAATTAAAATTGCCATTTGATAGAGAGATGGCCACACAGCCCTGTCATGTAGTCCTAAACATGAATATGACTTCTGTGGCAAAATGCACTATGTGTCAGCACAAGCACTTGCAATTTGCACATACAAAAAATAAGTCAGGAGAGACAACAGTGACATTCAATGTCCGGAACTGTCGCCTGGCACAAAAAACTATTAAAAAAAAAAGTTCCTCTATTGTATTGTTCTTTGTTATTTGACTACACTATACCCGGGTCTACTGTACCACTGTGGACCATGACCGCCTTCTCCACAACTCTAAGTTAAATCCTTGTTCTCAACACATCTGCTGAAAGTCTCCATGGAAACACCAAAATCAAAGAGAAAAAAAGAGCGTTGACCGGCAATGTGTTAAACACACAGTAAACCAAACTAGTTAATATGGTCTTACCATTTCTCCTACAAGATCTTTTGGCGGCTGCCCAAGGGATTCCATCTGTGTAAAAAAACAAAACAATAAACTGGTCACACATTCAAGTTTACAACAATAAAAATGTAAATGATGTGCATATACATAATCATTTGTACATGCAGCATGAATGTACTCAGTCAAGATACATCACCAGTTAAGTGCAAGTACTTGAGATATTGATGGAAAAGCTGAAAACTGACTAATTATTATGCAAATCAGGTAATTAATATCTACAGATTTTAATGTAAAACTAGTAACATCTGTGCATGTCACAGACCATCAATGTACCAAGTTTCATTGAAATGTGATCAGAACTTGAGATATCAATGGAAAAGCCAAAAAAGGTTAGTAAATTAGGTAATTAATATGGATAAATTAAAACCCAAATTAAAAAGTTCTGTGTATTGTCCTAGAGCTCATTATCATGCAAATTAGGTAATTAATATGCATGATTTAAAACAAAATGAAAGAATACATGTCAGGTCCCCCTAGCTGAAAGAATACATGAAAGGTCTGCTCAACTGAAATGATACATGTCAGA